ATTTCCTTCAATAACAATGGTCCTCGCGCTGGAAAGAATTCCATCAGGCTTTTTCCATATGATCCTGTTTGGTTTAGGATTAGCTGTCACGTTACACATTACAGTAACGTTCCTACCCTCCACAGTTTCAATTACGTCGGGAACAACTTGCACCAAAGGCAGTCCTAGAACACCAAAATGATAACCCATGGGAATAACGTAAATAATCTCACTACTGTATCGATCAAGACCATTGTTTACTTTATTCGAGATCTGATAGTAACCACCGTTCTTAGGCGACGACTTTTCTGCAGTCAGCTCCATTTTAAGCTAGACCTGCCACAAGTCGATCACTATAGGCAAAAGGTCAAGAGAGGTCGTTTGTAGGAACTCCTTGTCCATCTCAGCAATTTAAGATCACAAAAGCCATTTAAGACCTCACATATAATCATGAGGTATAGCTTTCTCCCTCACGCCCCTATTTTCCTTCTGACACCTAAAAAAATTTCTCATTTATTTAAATCCAAAGATCCTCCAAATTTAACGACTTCTCAAAGAGAAATGCACGATTATTGTCAATGACCAATCAAATCAACATACCTTCAGTGCAGTTTTTTCCCAGTAATCCATTTGTGCAAACACAGCGATAACCCTTCCTGGTGAAGCCAGTTTGGAATCGCTTTTTCGATGGACAAAGCGTACTAGAACAGCGGTTCTGTGAAGATATAAAGATATTTATAAAACTTTTTGGTCTGGTACCCTTCCCCCTCCTTTCTTCCATGCCCACTTCATGGAATTACATGTGAGAATAAGTCAACTCACCTTAAATGAATTGTAAACAGTCCCTCCTTTGTACCTTTGATCATGTTGATTATTTGCGTCATCTGAAGCACTCAATTCGCACAAAGGTTTTCCATTCTGTTGTGGTTCTAGATTGTAGGAAGCACAATCAGCTTCCAGGAAACATTTGACTTCACATGCGCTGGCTGTTTCAATCCTCACCATTTTGAAAACGTGTTTCTCGAAGATAAAGTCCTGTTTTGCGGGGTTCCACTCTACTTGCCGACAGTTTTCTTACAATTAAGCAAAATGAGAGTATAGTTTACGTGTCTACGTAGAAGGGCAACCTATTTCTAAACTAGCCTGTTTATTGTAAGCACGCTTCAAAACCGTGCGTTTCATGAAACTTTATTTTTATCTAACAATAACTGAGGCTTAAAAAATTAATTTCCATAAAGTTCTGACCATCACTTTCGTCTTGATACTGTGATGATGAATGAACACTTGTTCGGAAAAAAATCGTTGTTGCAATTCAACAAGGTAAATGATAGAAACTATGTTTTAGCGATTTTGATCGATGATTTTTAATCCGGCCAAATCGCAGAAGTTACCCTATTGAAGCCAGCACTAGCGTGAATGAGTATTCCAAATAAAGAGTTCTAAGGAAAAGAAAAGAATGGTTTTGGAAAAATTGATTTAATAAAATTTACGCCAATGAATATGCAAGCGATCTTCGCGGTTATGAGCACTATTTCCCGTGCAGGCCTGAATTATTTTCAGGCCTTATTTTTCACTACTGCTTAAGTAGTTTTCATAACTGAAGATCGCTTCCATATTCATTTCTACATCCGCAGTTCATATAAATGATTTTCATACATTTATAGTCAAAAGTTACGCCAGGTGGATTTAATACTTACCTTGCTCTTTACCATTGCAAATTCTAACCAGAAATGAAAGTATTAAGAATCCTGATGATTTCATCGCTAACTGGTCTGTTTTCTTTGTTACTTTATGAGCGAGATGGCGAATGAAAGAGTAACGGCAACTTTCCGTTTAGAATACGGCTGCTTACCTCAGTGTGTGTTTTGCGACAAATAACTAAGTTTAAATTTTTAATGGAACAGTATTGGAAAAACACAAGGGGGTGGTATAGTGGCTATATTAAATATAATACTGAAAACAGTGTTTATATATCGATTTACTAGGACTTTAATATTTCTCGAAACTGCAGACCGTTTTCCCTCTCAACTTCATTTCCTCTTCAGACAAGTGCTACACGGGGATTTTCGTTTACAAAAGTTATATAGTTTCTTAAGGTAAGAGATGAAAATTGTTTACCTCCACTTTATAGGGAATTTATTTATTTTTTCTGAAAAAGAAAGGGATTTTAAGTGTAATGGAAGTTACTCAACTGAGACATCAACAAGACTGGAAAGAATCAATTACGTCAAACTGTTTGCAAAGAGAAGCTGATTATCATACTTTCCTTGCTTCAGGCTTTAATTGCTATTTTTGAGCAGAATTTCAATGAACTTTGGTGCTTATTAAATGCATGAGTGTTGATATTTTCATCACGTACGAGTTATCTTTCAATAAAAAAGAAAAAGTTCGAAAATAAACCCTAAGGAAATCAAATTTGGTTACCAGTTCTTGTCAACAGGACTTCAGCACCTGTTCTTAGTCTAGTTAAGATACAAGATAAAGATAAATACACCCTCCCTACACTGAAAAGAAGAAAATACGAAATATTTGTTGATACCCATATTACAAACAGGTATACCAATATTTTGGATGATTCTAAATTATATAATATCGTATTCCTGCTTAAGAAAGTCAACAAGTCTGTCATGTTGAAGGACAATATTGGAATTTCCCATTTGGTAAGCTTAGATGTAATTATATTGGTGACGAAATGGGGTAAAACATTTTATTTTAGACCGCACATATCCGTGCAGTGCCTCTTTAATGATTATAATAGATCGTATAACTCGCTGACAGGTTGATTATTGGTCGTTATTGTCTGTAGGTTCTCTTTCATTTCAGTGATCCATCGTCATCGTTAAGAGAATGCTTCGCATCTAGGCTTATTTTATGGCGATCGAAGAAAAACAAATACACAACAGCTTTCGAACTTTTTCTCATGAGAAATTGTGACGATTTTGGTATTCTAGACCGACAGAAAACTTTTGTTAAACTTTTTGTATTAGTTCGTGATAAATTTCTCTAAAACACTAAAAAAAAAGAAAAAAAAAATTTTGAACATGGTTATAATTCAGATGTCTATATAAATGCTTCCTTTGCCAAAGATATAAAGATTTCAGCGTAGATTTCTTTCCCAAAGTGATCAGTTCGTGTGGTTGTTTCGATGTGTCGTGTTAAGGATGAACAATTAACAGGCGCCACATTGGTTAATAAATGGGCGACACATTGTTTTATATCTAAAAATGCGTGGCTCGTTGAAAAAAGAAAAGTGAAAAAGGATCTGAGCGCGACGTCAACACGACGTCAAAACAATTACTTGATGGTTGAGCATCTTTCGAAAAAAGAAAGATTACATTCAATAATATTTGAAAAGTCTGTGAAAGTTCAATCGAACGACATTTTGCAGTCCTGATATCATGCAACAGTAAAAATATATTTGGAAAATTGTATTCAAACTTTTTAGCACTGATTAAGTGTTAAAAATCCAGTACAGTATTTAAAAATGCAATGTAGACTTAACTTATTTTCATGCAGAGAACACCTTTTTAAATATATTTTTTATCGAGCGAAAGAACATTCGGGAGGAAAGTTCAATGCGACTTTTTCAAGGTTTTTCAACCTTCGAGTTATGCAGAGGGTGATTTACTTGTTCTGTTCTAAACCTATATTCAAAAGACGTTGTGAATACGGGGGATCCTTTGGCAGAAGACGCTATTGCTCTAGTAATGAGGACAATCTTCGGATGAAAACAGCGCCATTGGTTTTTACAGATAAACAAACCTCTTAATTTCTTTTGATCATGATTTTTTTTAACGAATTGCCAGTAACTCCATATTCCCCTCTCCCTCTCCCCAGCCTCCGTATCTGCTCTTTACTTACGGCAAAATGTCAGTGTTAACGATACACAATGGCCGCTTGATCGCATATTCATAACTACCGAAGGAAAAAACTTGCAATTGATCAGATCTTGGACCTTGAAACAGCAGTAAATTTTTTACCAGCCTGTGTCAAAGAAACATTTTTTTGCTTTGATCTTTGTTCTGATTTTGAGTCGTCCGGCCCTCGGTAAAAGGTAAAACTCACTGTTTCTCTTGACGTCAAATATTAAACGCTTAATATGGGTTACGTTATCCGACGGCGTGGTGCCAGTATCAAATGAGAAATACGAGAAATGGCGACGGCAGTCTATAAATATGAAGGTTGCCTTCATAGTGTTAACAGGCCGTTGCCAAAGCAACATGCTTTAATATTGCTTATTAGATTCCTGCTTCATTCCTTTCACACTGATAGCTAAGGAACGAAATATGTTTCAACTTGCAAGGAAACACTTGGCACAGCAGTTTTTAATCGACCCGGCTTCTGTCTCAGCCAACTCAAAACTCTATGCATGTCATAGTTATGGATTCTTCTTCCTTCGCCATCAGAAGAGTTCAAGACGATAGTCTATGGAAATAAAAATATTTTCATGAATACTGATGACATGTTGCCGCTAATAACAAATACTTTAATATCGCCTATTGGATAGGTACGTGATACCTCAGAAAAATAGACAACACCTGCTGAAACAGCAGTTTTAATTACTCAAATGGGCTACTGTCTGAGTTAACGATAGTTTTGACACATAATATTTCTGTAAGTGGGTCCTATTTGCTTTTGACGGATTTCTCTCTGCGGGTCTTATCTACTTTTAACGAATCTCTCTAGCGACTCGCTAAAGTCTTTAGTTTTCCTCCCTTTTTTTGGGAATAAAGGAAGCAAGTATTCACAAAGAGAATACTACTATTTTTGTTTTGTTTCGTTTTGTTTTGTTTTGTTTCTTTTTTCATCGCCAAGGACCAAGATGCAGGTGTTTAGTGACCATTGAAAATATAACAATTTTGATGATAATTTTGATGAATAAAAGATGATTCATGCTCTCTAAAAGCATTGAAAAATAGAATGCAAACCATTTTTAGACACTGGTGCACGCGAATGAAACTTAAAGGTTCAACATCACCCTATATTTATTGAAGAAAAAGATATATGTTCATGGTTTACCCACTGCAACACGGCAAAAATATCCTAATTAAAGACTGATCATGTTTTTACAGAAAATAACACGTCTCTACCACAAGAAAATTTAAATTAGACGGGGTGACTGCAAAATGGGTTCGTGGATCTTATTCGAGTTAACGTGGGTCCAAGTTAACCGAGTAGCTAGGTTCTATGCTTTTTCTGCTTAACAACAGATTTTATTTCGCCAAAAATCATTGTCTACTCCGACTATCTCAATACCAGAATTCGTTTTTCAGGTTCATCCATAGAATGTTTTTATTGCTTGTCTTCTGGTGCCTACAAATCGTATTTTTATTCAATACGTTAACGGTTATCTCGGGAAAGATAACAGGTAGGTCTAATGCCTTCGTTAGATTGTTGTTTCCAGTTTAACTTCCTTCTATGCAGCCCCTTCAATGCGACACATGATGTTCTATCCGCTAAAGAAATCACTTAATATGTTTTATTCCTTTATGAATATATATATTCCTTATAAAGGAAATGATGTAAAGGCCGTTCAGGAGAAAAATAAGTCCTGTGGACAGATTTCATTATCACTGAAGGTTCTTATTTTAAAATTCAACTGTCCTAGCAGATAGCTTTTTTTCGTTTAGATGCAGATAAAAGCACGAGCGCTAAAATGGCTTTGGAATCCTTCCTCTTGAGAACTTTAAGACCTGACTTCGGCTCACGTCTTGTGTTCATCAATGGTATGTTTAAGAGATCTACTCCTGCATTTCTAGGAGATATACATATTAGCAATTTAACTAAAATCCGAGAATGAGCAGAGTTGTAAAACCCTGCAGTGTCCCTGGCAGAGGTAGCACATTAAGTGAAATTAAAATTCTTTTTTTTTTTTTTTCAATGATACAATATTTTCATACAATGTGACGTTATACATGCTTTTACGTGTAAATTTACTGAGTAGTTATTGTATTTCTTAAAAAAAAGATCGGACCTTGCAGAGAAAGAATGCAGTAGGAAGCTTTCAATATTAACAGCTGGAATTTCAAATGGAAATATCAGTTGCTGCTTCCTTTGATTTCGATTTCAGCCTAAGCTTTGGGGATTTTTGTATAGAATCTCACCTCTATATTTTCTCATTCCTCAGAGTCGCAGTGGAAGGAGCAGATCGAGACACTTGTGAAGCCCCTAACGACCAATCAAATGGAAAAATTAAGTTGCAGAAGGCGGTGTGGAAGGAAACGAAGGCGTCATGATTCTAATGAGGGTTGCTTTTGTGATGAATTTTGTAAAAGCTTTGGTGATTGCTGTTTTGACTTCGATGAATTGTGAGTATTTGTTTCCCACACAGTTCAAGATCAAATATATCTTATACAGATGTTTTTAATCTTTTCGAATATCTTCAAATAATAACCACTTTAAGATAAATCCAAGTAAGACTTTCTTTTCTCACGACTCACTAGCTATCTTTAACTTTTCTTTTTGACACTGTGATATCACTTCAGCTTGATCCTAATTTGCTGTTGTTCAAGCATCTGCCTTGACGCGGAGTTCCCAATTCTGACAGTGTCTTCTACGAGTCGATTCATTCCACTTTTTATAGTCCCTGTGACCCATGTGGTTGGTCCTGTGGTTAATCCTAAAGCCGTTGACACACCTAGCGGTTTTATACGACGATCGCAGCGATTGGCGAAAATCGCCAGGTGTGCCCAGTACGGCGATTGCGATTTTCGCCGATCGCCGCGATTGGCGTTTAAAATTGCCGATATCTGATCTACCAGATATCGGCGATTAAATTCGCCGGCATTCGCCAAATCTGCCCGTTCCCGCGATTTCCTCTCCTTTCTACGGCGAGTCGCCGGTAAAATTAACCAATCAAGTTGGGCGGTATTATGACAATGACTTTTCAAAATGGCGGAAGGCATCGACAATTGTTTCTGAACCGAAGAAAAAGAAATCAATTTGATCATACTGTGGTCAGAAAAGCCATGCTTATTTGATGTACTGCCCAGTGGCTACAGTAATCGTCTCAAGAAAGACTCTGCGTTTCAATAAATCCACGTCTTCGACCATATATTTCTATTATCCCACTTTTCAGAACGCTTCCTGGAGCGCTTTAGTTGCAAAATTATGGCAGCAGCCAACAATTTTTTCGGCTTCGCTGTTGTCACTTCCTTTGTTTACATTGGTTCGCACAACTTTTATACGTCACCCGATGGAACCTGGGATCAAGGCTGAATGCCACATTGTCTGTGTGTCCCAGCGATCTGTGGCGAAAATGGCTAACGATTTTCGACGGCGATCGAATTCGCCGCGATCGGCGTATAAAATCGCCGGGTGTGTCGCCGGCTTTAAGCAAGAGATTATAAACTGTTTATAATCTCCTGCCCTCAAGTAATTACTACCACTATAGCGGTCGTGCTTGGGTCGTCTAATGACCATGCCTTGGAACTTTCCCAAAGTTCTGGTTTTGGCTCTCGCCTTCGAAGCTTGACTAGTTAATTTGAAACATTAAGTACATTGGGTTCGTTCGCGAGAACACCGTAAAAGGGCTCCAGTAAGTGTTCTTATTGAAGGTTCCTAATCTTCTGAGGTCAGTCACCACACATACCCAATCATGGCCTACTCATCGAGCTTATAAAAGAGTCCACCAGATATCGCTGATTTTCTTTTGAAAGGGGACTCAATGATTAACAGATGTTGGCGTTCCTCAAACTGTACCAAAATTGTAGTATTGAATGAAAATTTGTTCAGTCAAGGACATAAAGGGAAAAGAACAATTTAAAAGTGCAGTTTAGATTCACCGTAACGCCTTACACGAAACCTGGTTTCAACTAGCAGCTCTTACCCTTTCCCACCTCTCATTGGCCCGTTTTACCATTTTTAAGGGCCTATGTACCAAAGAACATTGATGACCCGTTTTTTTTCCTTTGTTGTTTTTGAACAGGTGTATAGTACCTCAAGTATCGATGGAAACATGTGTCAGAGAATATAACTATTGGGTCCCGGATCGGTTGATTGGTCGCGCAGTTTGGAGCTCATGCCCGAAGAACTTTACAGATGAGAATACAAAGCAAAAATGTCAAGGCAACGATGAAGATGAGATTGGTTTGAACCCTGTACCAGTGTATGACAAATACAGTAACGTGACATACAAAAATATTTTCTGCGCCAGGTGCAATGGAGCATTGCACACAGCATACTGGGAAGTCAGTTTCCAGTGTTTTAAGTGGTTCGATGTTTCCAACCTTAGTCTAAGCAAAGACTTGAGACTTTTGCAAGATCGGTGTTATCTTCAGAAAATTCCAGTTGATGATTCCTTGAAAAGATGCATCCCATGGCTTCGGCTTCCGATCAAAAGCGATCCAACGATGGGTAATACCCTTTGCAAAGCAGAATGTCTGAGTTACGCTCTTTTAGTAGTCTCCAGGAGTAGATCGAAATTGTTTCGTAACCCTCACTGTGCCTTTTGCAATGGAATTGAGCTCAGTGATATAGTTTTTTTGGTGCAAGATGACAACTCTTCTCCGCCACATTCCTTCAATACACCCCCTGCCCTAACAATTCTGTTTGAATTTACCTCCACATCTAAGTTTTGTATCAAAACAGCAGACCAACACAAAAGATCAGAAGATCATCCTACTACCTGTCTACACGATGAAGCGCATGACTCTGTACATCGAAACGAAATCAAAACATGTAAACTTAACTGCACCTTTGTAGCGTACAACAAAACGGATTATGAACTCGTTCCCAATGATCTCGTATTTTTGAAGGCCCATGGGAAATATTACAGTAACGTTTCTTATAAGATTTGTGGTGAAAAATTGTTACTGTGCGTTAATTTTTCAAAAACTTCCCCTGGAACTAGAAGTATTTCATTTGAGCACAAAGAAAACTATAAATTTCTTCAGCTTTTCAGCTTTATTGGGGCAGTCGTGTCCATCGTTTCTCTGGTTTTATTGTTAGTGACTTACGTCTTATTTGTTGAGCTCCGTAACTTACCAGGGAAAATCATGTTAAACTTGGTGATCTCTTTGTTGCTGTATGAAAGTGTATTCCTCTCAGCTGGCAAAAATGACGATCAGTTGATCTGCCTTGTGGTCGCCGCTCTTTTTCACCTCTTCGCCCTTTCTTCCTTCACGTGGATGAACGTTATGGCATATGATGTGCATCGCGCTTTCGCAAAAGTCTCGGGTAAGTTGACATTGTTAATTTAGTGATTTAGGATCGTTATCAATCTAGAACTTACGTCATTTCCTTTAAAATCTCTTTGTTTCAGTAAGTCATATTAGATATTGTTGATTATGGTGAATCTACTTGTCAAGAAGTATAAACGTCTGTATCGCAATTTAGTAACTACCAGTTTTGATCAAAATCTCGACTGCATACTGCTTTATTCATGATTCAGTTCAATTGATTTGAAGACTTGAGGAGGCAGTTCCCATAGAATCCATATTAACAAAAGTACTTGAGAGGACGATCATTAAGTATGAGTTGCTCATTATCATTCCAATTAGATCCGGCGGCAAACCGACAAGAGGACTCCAATAAACGTTTGATGTGTTACTCCCTGTACGCCTGGGGAGGTCCTGCTATTGTAGTCCTTTCCTGTGTTACAGTTGACCAGGTTAGGGAAGGAGCGATTGGATATGGTAAGTGCCTAACATAAAAAGGTGTATTCAGTGTTTGTCATTGAACCATAAGAAAAGCATAGATTACTCTAACTTCGGGTAAGTGATGTTGATATTGCAAAATACTTCAACTAATACCATGTGTTGCTGACTAAACAGGCCTTGGAAAAGAGGGCTGTTTCATATCAGAGAATAAAGCAAAGATATTCTCATTCATTTTTCCTGTTGGACTGATTCTGATTTTCAACCTCTTTGCTCTGGGACACACTAGCTTTCATATCCTCAAAACCAGAAAGGTGGGTACAATATTTCTACGTTTTTTTAAACAAAGAAAATCAGAGTTCCACTGTCGCAGTGTCTGTCTTTCTGTGCTTTGCCACGTTAACCATTTGTCCGACGCCTTGCATGACCAATAGAACATCGCAAGGAAATCTGAATTTTAAAACCAGGGTTATTCACATTTGTATTGTTTCAGACGGCCAGAAAAGTGACTAAGCAACAGCAAAGCTCTAACGTGGCTTTAATCTGTGTTAAAATGGCCTCAGTGATGGGTGTGACATGGATTCTTGGGATTGCTGCGAACCTAAAGGCTCTTTCATTCCTGTGGTACCCGTATGTTGTTCTAAACAGTCTTCAAGGTAAATGTCCTTCAGCTTAACAAAGCTGGTTTGGGCCGGAGAAAGAATGGAACACTTTCTTGATTGGAAGCACCAGAAACAATTATTCCGTTGTGGTAGCTGACCTTAAATTAGAGAAAGCCGTCTCATTGTGATAATAGTTGGTTGATCATATTAAATAGTTCCTATGGCAATGAAAGTAAAATCTATCTCGATTGATGTAACGAAGCGATTACTTACTCCTAGATAAGAATCTGCAACATATTCAGATTTTCTTGCATTTCGCAGTGTTTTCCATCGAATGACTGTGATATAGCCTTTTTTCTTGGCTACGCAATTTAATATCATTTGATTGGCACCAGAACTCTATGGGAATAAATTAATACACATGACGTCTTTTCAAGAGATTCTACTTATATCAGTTTAATTATTTGCCTTTCTCCAAGGTTTCTTCATCTTCCTGTCCTTTGCTACAACTGGGAAGGCGTTGGAGTTGTACAAAAGCAAATTTTCCAAAGTACTTAAGAAGCAAGCATCACAGGTCAGTGAAGAAAGAATGAGAAACTTGAATCCCAGGGAGCAATGCATCTGCCGCGGAGCTGAAAACCAGGAAACTAATATCACGCAAGTTTAGCAGTGTCGCTGATTACAGAGCGTTTTCAAATGCTTCATATGAGAAACTGTGACACATAAGCAACTTCGACAATATTCTGGGAAAAGGAACAAAATAGTGTTAAAGACATAGGCTCGTCTAATTTGGGCCGTCCTTTTTAGGCGATCAAGGGACTTTGAATGTTCCTCATAGGTGCTATTGTTTAAGTAATCAAATCTTTCTTTTCTCGTTAAATAGAAGCTTTGGTTTAGGTGATATTTTTTGCTAAATTTAAGATTTTTAGAGTGCGGTCGTATGAGCAAGAGTGAAACTGTTTCAATAACAGACCCTCAAAGTCTAGGACATTATTACTATTGCTCTGGTGATGACGACAGTCTTAAGGAGATAACAACGCTATCGTTTTTCAGATAAACAAACCTCTTAGATTTCAGTGTTAACCATTCACAATGGCCGTTTGAATCTGCACGAAATTCGTCTTAAGCCATACATAAAAATCACCTGCGGCTTCTGAAACCATAATTCATTGACCCGGTGGTGATTGCAATTTATTGCGTAACCTTAATGTCGTGTATTGCTCTACGTCACCACAATAAGGACATTTCTATAACTGAGTTGCACTGTGATATCACGTTGCAGGTTAAAAGAGAAACAAACTAATTGTACCTGTGTTTAATAACATACTGACTCTGTTGCTGAATTAAGTCTCTCGATTTACAGTTTAATTAATGAGTATCGCATAACCAAAAATCAAATGAGTCAACAATCAAACAGAAGAGAAATGGAAAACATAATGAGAAAAATAATGAGTACTGGGAATGACCATGCAAAAAAACCTCAAGCGCAGGAATTATGTCAAGCGATCCAGTAGTAATTGGTTATAGTTTTACATATGATTTGTTTCGATTATGGTCAGAATTTTCATGTTTTCAATTTTGTCTGCACCTAAGTTAGGCCATAGCACTCTAGTTTTCCTAAGGTACGGTATCCTTCTGTCACCAAATCTAAGCTGTTTAACGGGAAGGTGGGACTTGATGGTAAGAAAACCGCTGTCTTCCCGCCAATTTTCATCATTTTTATCACAGTTACACTTCAGTGATTCGTCATCGGCGCACGATCCAGTTAAACCATATGTGCAGCCACCAGTTGATAAGTTTGCTCCCCCCCAGTATGTCGTGTTCTGGCCGTCACGTGAAATCCACCATGAATATCCACCTTCAATTATTCTGGCGTGAAAACACTCGTATTTGATGAACTGTTGACAGTAATCAGAGGCTTCCGTCAGAGCTTTTAACTGAGATATGCTGGTAGATCTGTAATGAATATCAACGCACTTTTCATATCCTATCACCTGCGTTCTCTTTTCCATGTCGTGACCGACGACTGTCACTCCAACGCCTCCTTTGTCAGTCATGTTACAGTATACAGGAAATGGATCCTTGCCAAGAACACCGTCAGGATCGATGAGATAATCACCACTGACGTCGCTGATGCTTGCCTTCACTTTGGTGCCGGTTTCAGGGTATTTGACATGAACAGTGACACTTGTTTGAATTGAGCTGAATGCATCCGTCGCATTGCAAGTGTAGATACCAGAATGAGATATGTTAGCAGATGAAATGATCAAAGCATTCAAGGAGTCAACAGACGCCCATGAAGGTAAGGAAAAAGTTCCATCATACATCCATAGGATGGTTGGCTTCAGGTCGCTTGAAGCAGAGCAACGTAGAATGACAGCTTCATACGCCATCACTGTCACATTTGAGGGAGGCTTTATGACAAACTTGAGAGCTGAATAGACACGAAGGAGAACTGACGATGATTTGGTACTGCAGGGGTTTGTCGCAGTACACACGTAAGAGCCGTTGTCTTGTGTAGTGACATTCAGTATGGTGATGTTTCCTTCACGAACAAAGGTCCTCGCGCTGGAAAGAATCCCATCAGACTTTTTCCATATGATCCCACCTGGTTTAGGATTAGCTGTTACGTTACACATTATGGTAACGTTCCTACCCTCCACAGTTTCAATTATGTCGGGAATAACTTCCACCAAAGGCGGTCCTAGAATACCAAAATGATATTAAGGCATGGGAATAACGTAAATAGTCTCGTTAAAGCATCGATTATGGCCACATCTCGTTTTATAAGAGAGTTGATAAAAAACGCCATCTCAAGGTAGAAATGATTTAACAGTAAACTCCAGTTACCAATTGACTCATTTAAAGACTATCCTCGTCAACAGGTCTGGCGTAAACATGAGGTTGCAAGGGGTCCTTCTTGGGAATTCACTTTTTATCCCATCAAAGAAAGTCATGTTTTGCAGGTGCCCCAGCTCCCTCCCTCTCTCCCTTCTAATTAATTTAAGTTGATTCCTCAGCAATGAACTGCGCATCCTGTATTGGGCATAAATATCACGTAATCAGGAGAATAAGCGCGCGCATTCTGAGAACGCGGTATTATTCTTGAACCAGTACGGTGGGTGACCTATATTTTTTCTTGAATACTTTGATTGATACTTTAAAATTGGAGAAATTAAAAAAATTCATCAAAAAGAAAAAATTATAGCTGAAACCGTGCACTAAGCCCGTTACTCGATGATGCAATCATGACCTTGAAAACAACGACTCGAGGAACGTTTTGAGTCGATCTTGTTTAAAACTGGGTGTTTTTCTCCTCAGACTATATGTCAAACTTTTCCATGCGCTCGAGAGAATTTCTACCTATCAAGTTTTTTTTCTTTGGTGTTACTTTAAAACCCTTTGTTGTTGTTAAACAAGCAAGCTGACCTATCTTTTCCTCGTACTTTTTTAAACAGACAATGGCAGGGAGTATTTAAAAAGAAATTTTTAAAAAAAATTGTGGTCACTTTTTTTTCTGAGGAATCACCTTAAATTTTGCACATCTCTAATCTTAAAAGATTTGCTAAAAAAAAAAAGAGCACTGCGTGAGTCATGTCAATGACAACGACAATGTTCGCACAAAGCTCGACTAGTAAAGTACTTCCGGACTTTGTGACATGCCTGCGTATACACAAGAGATCATGGGGGGAGGGGAGGGGGGAGCGAAGAAGACTAATTAGTAAGACTAGTTAGTGAAATTAGTGAAATTGAAATCCCACTGTAAGACTAATTAGTGAAAATTAGGTTTAGATACTAGTGACAGTTACATATATAAAGCAAAGGATAGCAAAATTTTCAGGCAAACTAAACATTTGGAATCATTTTTTCCTGTACAAACCTTCATGAAATAAAAGCAGTTGTAACAAAATAATTTTATGTGCTGCTAAACGACAGTTACGTTTCGCTAAATCCCGAGTGAATGTTACGTAATTGTTTACGTGCACATGTCACCCTTCTCTTTCCTTACGTATATGTCATTTTGCTCACGGAAAATGACCAAAAATGAAAGACATCCGTACTCTTTCAGTGAGCATTGATCGCCTATGAGTAAGACTGATGTGTTAGAGAACAATCATGAGATTAGTTCTTTTAATACCAAACTGCCCTATGCAAAAGAAATTACATTAGGAAACTTCAATGCTTTCCACCCCAAGCTAAATATAACTTAACTGATATCAAGATATCCAGGCCAATGCCCTGATTTTTCCTGTCTGCCCGCTCATGATCTTTAATTGTACGCCAATAATAGTAAAATCGATCAACTCAACATACCTTCGGTGCAGAGTTTGAGAGCTGAATAGACACGAAGGTGAACTGACGATGATTTGGTACCCCAGGGATTTGTCGCAGTACACACGTAGGAGCCGTTGTCTTTTTTAGTGATATTCAGTATCGTGTGGTTTCCTTCACTAACAAAGGTCCTCGCGCTGGAAAGAATCCCATCAGACTTTTTCCATATGATCCCACCTGGTTTAGGATTAGCTGTCACGTTACACATTATAGTAACGTTCCTACCCTCCACAGTTTCAATTATGTTGGGAACGACTTGCACCAAAGGTGGTCCTAGAACACCAAAATGATATTAAGCCATGGTAATAACATAAATAGTCTCATTAAAGCATCGATCAAGACCATTGTTTACTTTCTTCAAGATCTGATAGTAACCGCCGTCCTGAGTCCAGGCCTTTTATGCAGTCAGCTCCATTTTACGTCAGACCTATTACCAGTCGATCACTATAGGCAAGAGCCAAGAGAGGTCGTCTGCAGGAATTCCTCGTCCATCCCAGCAATTTAAGACCACAAAAGCCAATTAAGACCTCATACATAATCATGCGAAAAAGCTGTCTCCCTCACACCTCCATTGTCCTCCTGATACCTCAAAAATTTCTTAGTTACTCAACATACCTTCAGTGCAGTTTTCTCCCAGTAGTCCATTTGCGCAAACACAACGATAACCCTTCCTGGTGAAGCCAGTTTGGCATCGCCTTGGTGATGGACAAAGCATACTGGAACAGCGGTTCTGCGAAGATATAAAAATATTTATAGAATCTATCGCTCCGGTGGCCAGTTTCCTCCCTTCTTCCAGCTAATCCATCCATACTGATGCACCCATTTATTTATTAATACATTTCAAGATGCACGTATTCATCTATCAGTTCATACATGTGCGAATGCAGGAAAAAATCCAGGAAAAAAAGTTTGAACGTATGGTTTCCTTCACCAGACAACATGAAAAGTGAAGAAAAATTACCATATTTCTTTCATTTGGTTTTGTTTTGGTTTTCTCTGTTCGTGCATTTAAAATATATGACCGTTTTATCGACAAAAACTTAACGGATTCAACTCACCTTAAATGATTTATAAACAGTCCCTTCTCTGTATCTTAGATCCTGTTGATTATTTGCGTGATCTGAATCACTCAATTCGCACAAAAGTTTTCCATTCTGTTGCAGTTTTAGATTGTAGGAAACACAGTCAGCTTCCATGAAGCAGTTCACTTCACATGCGCTGGCTGTCTCAATCTCCACCATTTTGAAAACGTGTTTCTCGAGGATGAAGTCCTGCTTTGCCGGGTTCATCTCTACTTTCCGACAGTTTTCTAAACATTAAGAAAATTGAAACTATAATTTATGTATCTAGAAGAGCAACCAATTCCTAAAATGAAACTGTTTCTTGTAAGCACACTTCAAATCGTTCGTTTTATGAAACTTTCCTTTTTATCTATAATAATCGAGACTGAAAAAATTAATTTCCATAAAGTTTTTACCGTTACTTTCGTCTTGATATTGTGATAATGGATGAACACCTGTTTTAACAATTCATCATGGTGAAAGAAAGAAACTATGTTCTTTGCGATTTTGATCAATGATCTTTAATCCCGCAAAATCGCAGAAGTTACCCTATTGAAGCCAGCACTAGCGTGAGTGAGTATTTAAAATAAAGTGTTTGAAAGAAAAGAGAAGAAAGGTTTTGAAAAATTCATGTGCTAAAATTTACGCCAATGAATATGCAAGCGATCTTCGCGGTAATGAGTACTACTTCCCGTGCAGGCCTGAATTATTTTCAGGTCCTATTTTTCACTACTGCTTAAGTAGTTTTCATAACTGCGAAGATCGCTTCCATATTCCTTTCTTTATCCGCAGTTCACATATATGATTTTCATATATTTATTGTCAAAAGTTACGCCAGTTAGCTTTAAAACTCACCTTGCTCTTCACCGTTGCAAACACCAACCAGGAAAAGAAATTTTAAGAATCCTGACGATCTCATCGCTAACTTGTCTGTTTTCTTTGTTACTTTACGAGCGAGATGGCGAATGAAAGAGTAACGTCTACTTTCCGTTTAGAATACGGCTGCTTACCTCAGTGTGAGTTTTGCGGAGAGAGATGGGGGGGGGGGGGGGGGGAGAGAGCGAAGAAGGCTTCTGGTCTAAGCCATGTCTGACTAATTAGTGAAAATTAGGTTTAGCGGATACTGGTGACAGTTACATAGATAAAGCAAAGGATAGCAAAATTTTCAGACACACTAAACATAAGGAATCATTTTTTCCTGTATAAACCTTCATGAAAGAAAAAAAATAGTAAGAATCCTGACGATTTCATCGCTAACTTGTCTGTTTTCTTTGTTACTTTACGAGCGAGATGGCGAATGAAAGAGTAACGTCTACTTTCCGTTTAGAATACGGCTGCTTACCTCAGTGTGTGTTTTGCGACAAATAGCTAAGTTTAAATTTTTAATGGAACAGTATTGGAGAAACAAAAGGGGATGACAGAGCGGCTTTATTAAATTTAATACTCCACATACAGTGAAGCCGGATGAAAGAATTTGCATATCGATTTACATAGATTTTTCTATTTCTCGAAACTGCAGACCGTTTTCCCTCTTGGTCGTTATGGAGATGTTATCTTTAATAATCTCTGCAATTGTAATTGTTTCCCTTTTTTTATTTCGAGAAAATACTTGTAAGTTGTGTTGCTTCGCACATAGCAGGTGTCACATTGGTTACAATTTGAATACGGGAAGTAACTTTAACTTCAGTTCCTCTGCAGTCAAGTGCTATGTGAGGGTTTCCGTTTATAAACGTTATACAGTTTCTTAAGGTAACAGAAGAAAATTATATGTCCAATTTAAAAGGAATTTTTTTCTGGAAAAGAAAGGGATTTTAAGTATAATGAAAGTTGCGCAACTGAGGCATCAACAAGACCAGAAATGATTAATTACGTCAAACTGTTTGCAAAGAGAAGCTGATTATCATATTTTGCGTGTTTCAGGCCTTAATTGCTATTTATGAGCAGAATTTCAATGAACTTTGGTGCTTATCAAATGCATTGGGTGTTGATATTTTCATCACGCCGGAGTTACCTTTAAGGAAAAAGCTAGACACTTGACTCTAAGGGAATCAAATTTGGTTATCTGTTCCTCTCAACGGGGCTTTATGCTTGTGGTCAGCCTTATTAAGATACAAGATAAAGATAAATACACCCTCCCTACTCTGAAAAGGAGAAAATACGAAGTATGTGTTGATGCCTCCATTACAAACAGGTATACCATCTTTTGGGTGATTCTAAATTATGTAATATGGTGTTCCTGCTTAAGAAAGTCAACAAGTTTGTCTTGTTGAAGTACAATATTGGTCAGTTCACATATAATAATATTGGTGACGAAATGAAGTTAAATATTTTATTTAAACCACACGTATTCGCGTAGCGCCTCTTTAATAATTATAATAATTATCACAGATCGTAGAATAAGATGACAGGTTTATTATTGGTCGTCATTGTCTGCAGGTTCACCTTCATTTCGGCGATGCATCGTCATCGTTACCAGAATGCTTTACATCTATTGGAGCTTTATAGCGATCACAACACAACAGCCTTCAAACTTTTTTTCATGACTGAATTGCGACGAGTTTGGCATTCTAAACTGACCAAAAACTTTTCTTGAATTTTTCGTTTTTGTTCCGAGTAATTTTCTCTAAAATAATAAAAAGCTTTGAAAAAAAGAGTTGTTGAACATGATTATAATTCAGCTGTCTATAAAAATGCTTCGTGTGGCAAATATATGAAGATACGTAAAGTTTACAATATCGGTCTGGCGGTGGTGATTTCTTTCGCAACATGATCAGTCTGTGTGGTTGTTCCCCCGATAATTTTGTAGCTTGAAAACTTTCATGTCGTGTGAAAGCCACACAATTGACAGGCGCTACATTGACTTATAAATGAGTGATGTATTGTTTTTATTTTTAAAAATGCGTTCCTCAAAAAAATCAATTAATTAAAAGCAAAGAAAGAGCTAAGCACGACGTTAACATATTTACAAAAAAAAGCTTATGATTTTGGACCCTAAAGGCCGATTTGTGATTTTTGACAATAATGGCCGATTTGTGATTTTGGAGACTGGTGACAATGTGTTATTTTCAACCCTAGTGGCTGATTTGTGATTTTGGACCCTGCTGGCCGATTTTGATTTTGACCCATTTGCGATTTTGGACCTTAGTGGCCCATTTGTGATCTTGGACCCTAGAGGCTGATTTGTGATTTTGGACACTAGTGGCCGATCTGTGATTTTGGACCCTAGTGGCCGATCTGTGATTTTGGACCCTAGTGGCCGATTTGTGATATCACGTTCCAGGTTAAAAGAGAAATAGGCTAACTGTATATGTGTTTAATAACATACTGACTCCATCGCTGAATAAAGTTTCTCGATGTACAGCTTAATTATTGAGGGAATCATTTAATGCGGGGGACACTAGATTAGAGAGCTCTTCTATTGAGTGTCGCGTAACCAAAAATCAAATGAATCAATAATCAAACAGAAAAAAAGTGTAAAACATAATGAGAAAAATAATGAGTACTGTGTATAACCAAGCAAAAAACCTCAAGCGCAGGAATTATGTCAAGCGACCCAGTAGAGATTGGTTATAGTTTTATATATGATTTGTTGGTCCGAGTTTTCATGTTTACAATTTTGTATGCACCTAGGTCATGCCATAGCACTCTAGTTTTCCTAAGGTGTGGTATCCTTCTTCCTTGAGATTTGCATCTCCTGTGTCACCAAATCTTAGCTGTTTGACGGGAAGGTGGGACTTGATGGTAAGGAAACCGCTGTCTTCCCGCCACTTTCCATCATTTTTATCACAGTTACACTTCAGTGATTTGTCATCGGCGCACGATCCAGTTAAACCACATGCGCAGCCATCAGTTTTTAAGTTTGCTCCCCCCCAGTATGTCATTTTCTGGCCGTCACGTGAAACCCACCATGAAAATCCACCTTTATTTAATCTGGCGTGGAAACACTCGTATTTGATGAACTGTTGACAGTTACCAGAGGCTTCCGTCAGAGCTTTTAATTGAGATATGTTGGCAGATCTGTAATGAACATCAAGGGAATATTCACCAGGCCTATCGTATCCTTTCACCTGCGTTCTATTTTCACTGTTGTGACTGACGACTGTCACTCCAACGCCTCCTTTGTCAGTCATGTTACAGTAAACAGGAAATGGATCCTCGCCAAGGTCACCGTCAGGATCGATAAGGTAATCACCACTGACGTCGCTGATGTTTGCCTTCAGTTTGGAGCATGTTTCAGGGTATTTGACATGAACAGTGACACTTGTTTGAATTGAGCTGAATGCATCGGTCGCATTGCAAGTGTAGGTACCAGAATGAGATATGTTAGCAGATAAAATTATCAAAGCATTCAAGGAGTCAACAGCCGCCCCTGAAGGTAAGGAAAAAGTTTCATTATACGTCCATAGGATGGTTGGCATCAGGTCGCTTGAAGCAGAGCAACGCAGAATGACAGCTTTATAAGCCATCACTGTCACATTCGATGGAGGCTTGATGACAAATTTGAGAGCTGAATAGACACGAAGGAGAACTGACGATGATTTGGTACCCCTGGGGTTTGTCGCAGTACATACGTAGGAGCCGTTGTCTTTTGTAGTGATATTCAGTATGGTGAGATTTCCTTCACTAACAATAGTCCTCGCGCTGGAAAGAATCCCATCAGACCTTTTCCATATGATCCTGTCTGGTTTAGGATTAGCTGTCACGTTGCACATTACAGTAACATTCCTACCCTCCACAGTTTCAATTATGTCGGGAACAACTCGCACCAAAGGCGGTCCTAGAATACCAAAATGATATTAACCCATAGGAATAACGTAAATAATCACATTAAAGCATCGATTATGGCCACATCTCATTTTATAAGAGAGTTGATAAAAAACGCCATCCCAAGGTAGAAATAATTAAACAGTAAACTCCAGTTGCCAATCGACTTATTTAAAGACTATCTTCATCAACAGGTCTGGCGTAAACATGAGGTTGCAAAGGGTCCTCCTCGTGAATTTATCCCATCAAAGAAACTCGTGTTTTGCAGGTTCCCCGGCTCCCTCCCTCCCTCTCTTCTAATTGATTTAAGGTGATTCCTCAGTATTGAACTCCGCATCCTGTACTGAACATAAATATCACGTAATCAGGAGAATATTATCCCATTTAAATTGGAAAAATTAAAAAGGAATTTATCAAAAGGAAAAAAATATAGCTTAAACCATGCACTAAGCCCGTTACTCGATGATGCAAATCATGACCATGAAAAAAACTGACTCAAGGAACGTTTTTAGTCGATGTTGTTTAAAACTGCGTGTTTTTTTCCTCAGACTATATGTCAAACTTTTCCATGCGCTCGAGAGACTTTCTTCCTATCAAGCCTTTTTTTCAAGTGTTACTTTAAAAATAACCTTGCTTTTAGGCACCACGAAATGTACCTTGAACCGATGAAATGCCGTGCATGACCAGTGCTAGCATAAATCGGGTATGTTTTTCCTATCGTGTCTCTTAAACAAGCAGGGGACCTATCTTTTCCATGTAGTTCTTGAAACAGACAATGGTAAGGAGTATTTAAAAAGAAATTTTAAAAAAAGTTGTGTTAACTTTTTTTCTGAGGAATCACCTTAAATTTTGCACACACAAAAAAAACGCTGCATGAGTCATGTCAATGACAATGACAATGTTCGCATAAAGCTCGACCAGTAAAGTACTTCCGGACATTGTGACATGCATGCACAAGAGATTATGAGGGGGGGGGGGGGGCCGAAGAAGGCTTCTGGTCAAAGCCATGTAAGACTAATTAGTGAAAATTAGGTTTAGATACTAATGAAAGTTACATAAATAAAGTAAAGGATAGCAAAATTTTCAGCCACACTAAACATTAAGAATCATTTTTCTTGTACAAACCTTCAAAAAATAAAAGAAGTTGTAACAAAATAACTTTATGTGCTGCTAAACGAGAGACACATTTCACTAAATTCCGAGCGAATGTTACGTAATTTTTTATTATTTATTTTACGTCAGACCTATTACCAGTCGATCATTATGGGCAAGAGGCCAAGAGAGGTCCTCTGTAAGAATTCCTTGTCCATCCCAGCAATTTAAGACCACAAAAGCCATTTAAGACCTCATACATAATCATGCGGTAAAGCTGTCTCCCTCACACCTCCATTGTCCTCCTGGTACCTTAAAAAGTTCTTCGTTCCTCGACATACCTTCAGTGCAGTTTTCTCCCAGTAGTCCATTTGCGCAAACACAACGATAACCCTTCCGAGTGAAGCCAGTTTGGCATCGCTTTGTTGATGGACAAAGCATACTGGAACAGCGGTTCTGCGAAGATATAAAATTATTAATAGAATCTATCGCTCTGGTACCCAGTTTCCCCCCTTCTTCCAGCCAATTCATCCCTACCGATACACTCATTTCTTTATTGATTAATTTCAAGTGCGCGCATACATCCATCAATTCAGACATGTGTGAATGCATGATTGCATTTACGCATTCATGCGTTCATGTATCCATCCATCCTTTGAGCGTATGGTTTCCTTCCCCAGACCGTCAACATGGAAAGTGAAAAGAATTTCAAATCTTTCTTTTATTTTGTTTTGTTTTGGTTTTCTCTTTTCATGCATTCAAAATATATGAGAATAATTCAACTCACCTTAAATGATTTGTAAACAGTCCCTTCTTTGTATCTTAGATCCTGCTGATTGTTTGCGTGATCCGAATCACTCAATTCACACAAAATTGTTCCATTCTGTTGCGGTTTTAGATTGTAGGAAACACAGTCAGCTTCCATGAAGCAGTTCACTTCACATGCGCTGGCTGTCTCAATTTCCATCCTTTTGAAAACGTGGTTCTCGAGGACAAAGTCCTGCTTTGCGGGGTTCATCTCTACTTGCCGACAGTTTTCTAAAAATTAAGCAAAGTGAAATAAGTTTATATATCTAGAAGAGCAACCTATTCCTAGCCGAACCTGTTTCTAGCAAGCACGCTTCAAAATCGTTCGTTTTATGAAACTTTCTTCTTATCTAAGAATAATTGAGACTTAAAAAATTAATTTCCATAAAGTTTAACCATCACTTTCGTCTTGATATTATGATAATGGATGAACACTTGTTCAGAAAAAAATCTTTGTAGCAATGCAACAAGGTGAACGATAGAAACTATGTTCTTAGCGATTTTGATAGATGGTTTTTAATCTAGCCAAATTAAATCGCAGAAGTTACCCTATTGAAGCCAGTACTAACGTGAGTGAGTATTAAAAATAAATTGTTAAAGTGTTTGAAAAATTGATTTAACGAAATTTACGCCAATGAATATGGAAGTGATCTACACGGTTACACGGACTACTTCCCGTACAGGTCTGAATTTTTTTCAGGCCTTATTTTTCACAATTGCCTAAGAAGTTTTCATTACTACGAAGATCGCTTTCATATTCATTTTTTTATCCGCAGTTCACATAAATGACGTTCATATATTTACAGTCAAAAGTTACGCCAGGTGGCTTTAATACTCACCTTTCTCTTTACCGCTGCAAATAGCAACCAGAATTGAAAAGAGTAACAATCCTGACCATTTCATCGCTAACTTGTCTGTTTTCTTTGTTTCTTTACGAGCGAGATGGCGGATGAAAGAGTGACATCAACTTTCCGTTTAGAATACAGCTGTTTACCCCAGTGTGTTTTGCGACAAAATATTAAAGTTTAAATTTTTAATGGAGCAGTATTGGACAAACAGAAGGGGATGACACGGCGGTTATATTAAATTTGATACTGCAAAAACGTTAAAGCCGGATGAAAGAATTTACATATCGATTTACAGATTTTTTTCTATTTCTCGAAACTGCAGACCGTTTTCCTGGTGGTCATTGTAGTGATGTTATCTTTATTAACCTCTGCAGATGAAATTATTTCCCTCAATTTTTTTTTAAGATAAAAAAAACTATTAAGTGGTATTGGCTCTGAGTGCTTAGCGGGTTTCACATTGGTTACAATTTGAAAACAAGAAGCAACTTCAACTTCAAGTGTTATGTGAGGATTTCCGTTTGCAAAAGTTATACAGGTTCTAAAGATTAGAGAAGAAAATTATGTACCTCCACTTTTCAGGATTTTTTTTTTTGGAAAAGGAATGGATTTAAGTACAGAGGAAGTTGCGCAACTGAGGTATCAATAACACTGGAAAGAATTAATTACGTCAAACCGTTTGCAAAGAGAAGCTGATTATCATATTTTACGTGCTTCAGACCTTAATTGCTATTTTTGATCTAAAATTCAATGAACGTTGGTGCTTAATAAATGCATTGCGTGTTGATATTTTCATCACGTATACGCTACCTCTGAATTAAAAGGAAAACGTTGGAAACTAAACTCTAAGGAAATTAAATTTGGTTACCGGTTTCTGTTAACAGGGCTTCAGCACCTGTACTTGGACTAATTAAGACTAATTAGGACAAGACAAATAAATAGATACAAGATAAAGATAAACAAACCCTCCCTACGCTGAAAAGGAGAAAATACGAATTACGAAGATATGTGTTGATACCCCTATTACAAACAGGTAATATCGTATTCCTGCTTAAGAAAGTCAAGACATCTGTCTTGTTGAAGTACAATATTGGAATTTCCCAGTTAAAGTTTACGTGTAATTATGTTGGTGACGAGATTAGGTAGAATATTTTATTTTAAACCGCACGCATCGATGCAGCGCCTCTTTAATGATTATAATAGATCGTATAACTCGCTGACAGGTTGATTACTGGTCGTCATTGTCTGTAGGTTCTCTTTCATTTCGGCGATGCATCGTCATCGTTAACAGAATGCTTCACATCTGTTGGAGCTTGTGTTACAGCGATCGAAGAAAAACATCACGCAACACCTATCTAACCTTTTTCATGAGAAACTGCGAGTTTGGCATTCTAGACCGACAAAAAAATTTGTTTAATTTTTATTTTTGTTTCTGGTAATTTTCTCTAAAACAGAAAAAAACTTTGAAAAAAAAATTCTTGAACATGGTTATAATTCTGTTGTCTACAAAAATGTTTCTGTGCCAAATATATAAAGATACCTATATTTTATGATATCGGTCTGGCGGAGGTGATTTCTTTCGCAACATGAACAGTCCTTGTGGTTGTTTCCCCGCTAATTTCGTCGCTGGAAAACTTTCATGTAGTGTTTGAGCCAAAAAATTGGCAGGCACTACATTGACTTTCAAATGAGTGACGTATTGAAATGCGTTTCCCATTGAAAAAAAAAAAAAAGTAAAAAACAACTGTAATTTGAACTCTAGAGGCTGATTTGTGATTTTGGACTTTTGTAGCCGATTTGTGATTTTGGACCCTGGTGGCCCATGTGCGATTTTGGACCCTAGCAGCCGATTTGTGATTTTGGACCCTAGTGGCCCATGTGCGATTTTGGACTCTAGCAGCCGATTTGTGATTTTGGACCCTAGTTCTTTTTTTTTAAAGTGGCGTATATTTCAACTTGGCCACCAGCGACCTCTTTTCTCAATTTTGACTCTAGTAGCCAATTTGTGATTTCGGACACTGGAGCCCGATTTTTGATAAAGGATCTTAGTGTCCAACTGTTGATTTTGGAGCTGAGGGTCCGCTTTTTATTTTATCTAAAAAAAAAGGAAGAGGGAAATGTCCTTGATACCTGTCAGCCATTTAATAGCAACAGTGGACACGGATAGCTTTATAAAGGGATGGAGGGAAGACCCAAACATCTTGATGACGAAATTGATGTGAAAATATTTGATAAATTTTACCTATACAGTTTTACTTTATGTTGTATCCTAAGCAACCGTTTTTCCACTTACCGTGGATGGGAGGGAGGAGGGTTGATGTCACACAACGTCGCTTGCCGTTAAAGAAGGAATAGCAGGTGAGTGCGTTACGTGACATGCCACGAACTATCGACAACCGACGACAAAGGCTTTATGAAGCTCGTACAGTGCATGCAGGAAATATTCCATTATGATTTCGCTGCTCTTTATTAAGATATTTGACCACGCTGCCGGTGGCGATTTTTCATGTTGGAAAGAGATTATTTTGCCCGTACGTGAAATGTCAGCCTAACCACTCGGAGCTGAAACATGAGACCTGACCCGGCAGTGTCAACAATACATTGAGTTTCAGCTGAACAAGGAAGCCGAGATCTGGTTACCGAAATGGGGAATATAAATTGCCTTGCGAAATGCTATTATTTCAGTTACCAGAAAAGCAATCACACGAGCCAGTTGGAACACATTTTGGTGCTTTAATTTGATAAGGTAAGTTTGGAGAGAATTATTTATGGAAGTCTGCTTGCGGTGGCAAGTTAGGATCGTACAAGTATATTGCTTTTATCGACCCTTTTTAGGAAAGAGATTTCAAGAGGTGCATTTTGAAACCTTTTTCAAGGTCCGTGCGCTAAGATCAGGTAAAAATTTAAGGCCAATAGTTTTCTGTCCTCACCATACCAATTAATTACAATTAATGAAATTGCCCGAATTGTGAAAGAAGAATTTACATTCATTTATTTCAAATTGAAGCCCGATGCTCTTTTTCGTTGGACTACCTTTGTGACAACAACAGCAACTAAAACAACAACAAAATTAAATCATAGGCGAAAAATGATTGAAAAATGTTTAGTGCAGTAGTCAGCATAGGTAGAAATTCCCTCGGCAATGTCAGTCCCAGGTGGAGAAACTTGTAGTTTGCTTTAAATATTTTTTTTTGCGATCGCTCGACAAATGTAACTGAGGGGAAGGAATGCTTGAATTCTGGGAAGTGAGTTTTATTAGGATAAGTGCCACTTCCTTATTGCAGGGAAAATACACGAGTTGCCTTTTTGCTGAAGCGGAACTTAAAAGCTCATCGAATTGTCTGTAAATTAATCTCCGTGATCTCAAAATCTTTCATTATGTCACGCTCTGTATAAGTAATGATCATTCGAACTATCGTCTGTTTGATACATTCTCACAACTTTTCTGACATGAGAAATTTACAATTTTATTTCGGACATAAGCTGTTATATAGCACTGTGAGCAATGAAACTCCGCTGTCCGTTCATCCAGTCTTTAGAGTGATGGACAAACACTAATGGTACAAACATTCATGTCACATTTATGCAGCACGTACACTTATCATGCTATTGAAAACGTCACCCAACATCGTTCTTGTATCGTCCATCGATTCACTATTCAAGCGTCACATAGCATGGTTAGAATGAATGGGGATTAGACCATGTTCAGACAGGCGATAGTGCATTGGATTAAACCAGTGACGAAATTTTATTCAGTTGTTAAAGAACAGAAAAATGTGTAGGATACTGGTAAGCTCTTATTAGAAAATTTCTACGTCGAATGATCAAATTATTGTCAAGGAGGCCCTGTTATGCGACCACTTGGGTCAGAAGAATTATGCTGGAAAATTAAAGCATTATACCTTTGAGCATCACCCTGAAAATACTTCATTACACCAAAAAATATGGTGAAATTTAATCATTCAAAATAATAGCTTTTAAGAGCGAATTTTTTTAATCACCGCGTGGGAGGTGGCACATGATCGGAAAAATCACTATCCTCATATTTCGCTCGAGCTACCTTTGGGTAAGTCTATAAACGTGGTATAATTTTTTTGTTCAGAGCTGTTTTTATTTTCTAGAAAATCACCAAACACTGTATCGAGCCCCAACCGCCATTAAATGGCCGAAATGAAGTCGACGTGCAGGGCAACAAAACCTTTATTCCTCAAAAGCGCAAAAGAAAGCAAGTCTTTCTGAATTTTACCTATTTGTATACGAGGTATTAAAAAATGATTTGAATCTAATAACGGGCTTGTTGACATAACTATGAATTATTGGCGAATATTTGAAAATAGCCAAAATTTGATTGATTAAAAATTACATTTTGGAGCAGTTTTTCAATAAAAATTTTTCCTACCTGGTATAACTCGGAATCACTTGAGATGAGCATTTTTACAAAGTGGAAAGAATGTTCTTTCCATGGATATAAAAATTAATTTGGGGCTCTTAATTACTGCGAAGAAGTAGCCCGGTCTATTTTGTGCAAATCGCAATGCCGCCATGTAAACAACCGCAGATAATCCAATTAGGCTTTTTATTATTGAAGCCATAATTCCAACAAAATCTTATCGCTTTGACCTATACCAGATTGTAAACTGGATTTCTTAAGCTCACCTGGCGAAAAACACCTTTCTAAGATTGGTTCCTTGCCTCAATCTTGTTATAAAGAGACTTGACAACAGTTTCGATAGTACAGCACTACAGGCGGTGTATACCAAATCACAGTGAAAACATCCCACGAAGGTTCCTGCCGGAAACGTCGCATTGCTGGACAGTTATAACCATATTTTAGCTTGGAACACTCACATTTTACAAGTCTTGCTTTCACAATAAGAATGGAAGTTTGTTTTTTTATAGAACGAGCCAGAGCATCCTGACAGATGAAACGAATCATTGACGTTCGTTTTTTGCGATGGTGTCACGCAATAACATGTCACTCGAAAGGAGGCTCGGTTACCAATATACTTATTTTCTTTCCCTCTCGTCCCCTATTTTTTATTTCCGGGAAAAAGTTTTAAATCCAGAATTTAAAATTACCGTTGTTTGCATTTTTTAAGCGCGATACCACTCATGCG